GGCTTGAAAAGCAAAGTCTGCTACTTTTGACAAATTTTTCTTGACGATTGCATTTAACTTTCAACCTTGCTGTAGCACTAGCTAATTATTGTATTAAGCGTATCATTGCTGTTTCTGGGACTTGTGATGTAAAACCTTGGAGTTTTCAGCTAAAAACCTTCAGCCCCACCCCCTTAATAAGCATGCAGAAAGTATGTTTAGCTGATTATCTCTGTAGTTGTTCATTCAAATCTAGTACTTATATTTTTCATAAAAAGTAATTGTGCATACCTACCTGCTGATGCCAGACAACAGTCAGAATTGCACTGCTAATATACTTGAAAAAATTATTTTTTCTTATGCAACTTCTTTATTGCTAAATCTCTCATCTTTGGAGTGGATCAAGTGAAAGGACTTTGCTTCATAAACTGCTTCATATTGCATGCCTTCGCTGCATAGTAGTAGCAAATTATTGTTTAAAAATATTTTTCGGCAATTTAAATAAAAAATAACATACAACAATACAACAATGTATGGTCATGCATATATAGTCTTGTGCTCTTGATACTTCATAGCTTGAAACTTGAATTCGACTATTATCATACAGAGAAACATAAAATGGGAAGATATATAATTGATCTTACTTCAATGAACTACTTGATGATGTCAGTACTGAAGTATAAATCCTAAGATTGAGAGAGACAGAGACACTAAAAAGATAGAGAAAGAAAAATGGCAAAGAGAGGGAAGTGCACAACAGTGAAGTGTATAATGGTAAATCAGATCAAAGAGCAATGATTACTGTAATCAAGAGTATAGCTGTAATGTGTATAATGATATTGGCAATAACTTTATTTCATAAGCTATACTTTAATGAATTAGTGACATACACGTAGGCCTGTGTGTGGCATACATTTTTGATATGCATGTGCTAAATGTAAACCTATTACACATGTAGATGTAGAAAGGAAGGCAGAGAGGAAGGAATGTAGGATAGGATCATACAGGAGCAAAGATGAGAAAGATGTAGAGAAAGAGACATGTAGAATAGTAAAGCCATAAAGAGAGTAAAGAGTTTGTATGAGAATAGACTATAATTATTCAGAAAGATTGCTGAAGATAATGTACGGCATCTTAAGAGGGGAAAGAGAGAGGCAAAGAGAGATCAAATAAGACTATGCATGTAGACAAAGACATTGCGCACTAAGGGAAAGAAATG